ATTTTTACTATCTCCTATATAGCGTTGTTATGGTATAAATATTGTTGCTATGGACGTTTTTTGGTAATCAAATGACAATACCAAATTATTTTCGTTTTCTTATCATAATACACTTCAATGACAATAATTAGATCAGCATCTAAAAATGTTAAAACTGAAACGAAACAAAAAAGATAAAAAGAAAATCTGTACATTTCTGTCGTAAAATGATCGACGTTGCTAGGGCTGTTGCTAAGGAATGCAAATCCCCATTGATAAAAAAAACCTATGTTTTAAACCTTATCCAATTCATACAAGTATGTGGTATAAATATGAAAACAATTCAAGACAGGGCCAAAAATGACCCTTCGTGAATCTACTCCAGAAGCCAATCAGCGCCGAGGTCACAAAAGTTAGGGAAAATGGCAGGCTCTGTTCAGATTTCCGATCGTCAGCCTGACCAGCTTGAAAACTGTTCTCGGGTGTCCGACATGATAATGTAACGGCATGAACTATAATACAAGTAAGTTTGTTTCCTATCGTAGAAACACTGTACTGACATTGAATAACGTACACGTACGTGCCGTGTTCTAGGCGCTACCCACTGAGGTTTAGCGTGTCATCCCGAGGACAGCAGAGTGTCCGACCAACTGAAATTCCACCATTTTTCGATGTTTCATGAAGTCTTATGAAAATTGTACTGCATGACATATGGCATATCATACATCAAATTAAAGGAAAAAACTGTTTCTATCGATCTAGACTACTACCGGCGTTATATTCTGAAAGATTATGACAAAATCGCATATTTTCTGTAACTGGGTTACTAGGGGGAAGGAGTTAGCAACCTTGATTATATTATAAGAGTATTAGGTCAGTGAAGTAACACAGACGAGGCTAGTATCTGTGGTTTGTTTTAAATTGAAACGTTTTCTTTTTCATCCAAAGTCTATATACAATATTAGAAACAAATAAGACATTTAAGCAGAATTCGATTATATAAGCAATATGTATGTGATGTTTCTCTTTAATTTGAAATATTTTCATTTTCATCGTATGTCTATTTATATACAATATACAATATGAGATTTACATCTAGATTATTATTTACAATGTAGAAGGCGTTCACGTATGTATATATAAGCATTATTTATTCTAATTAGAAATATTTTCTTTTTCATGTTATAATTTTGTATTTCAAATTCATGTGAGCATTGAACTGTTACCAGATGCAACAGTATGCAGTCGATATGAATGCAATTTGGGTGACAGATACATAGAATGTCGCCCGTTTCGGCGACATGAATATTTATCTGTCACTCAAATTGCATTCATATCGACTGTATACTGAATCTGGTAACAGTTCAATGCTCATATTTACATTTATATAGTTTGTATTGTATAATAACTGAAGCACAAATACGTTTTAATTTCCCGCTTATCATATCAGTGACGTCAGTAAGTTCAAACCCCAGAACAGCCGAATTTTCAAGCAGAAATAATAAAGTCCCTCGTGTCATTGTAAACCACAAGCACATAAAATGGTTTGATCACAAACTTAACTTTATTATTTATTTCATATGAGTGTGTATATGTTGATAAATTGCTAATAATTGCATAACTTCTGCTTGCTTAAAATAAAAGCTGTTTTTCGCGCATTGATAGATTACATGTATTTGGAAGTGATGCGGCGCTGAACGGACTTGATTGTTTCCTCGGAAACGCTTATGTTTCCATCGACTGGAATATTACGTTATTTTCAGAAGCACACATACTCGGAATTTTTTAATCAAAGTGGTTCTTTCAGTAGGTGATAACGATTCCAAGGACTTTTTGTTTGAAACAGATTCCATGTCTAATCGCAATCTCCACGCAGAGTTACAGTCCTTGCACTCCCTTTTAATGTGTTTGATTGAAAAGGATCGACAACTCTGGGTAGAGATTGGTCTAATCGGTCAGATTAGCATCGCTAGCAGGCGACGTTCACAGGGGCTCGGTTTCGTGATTTTGAGTAATTGATGACATCACTGATGAACCACAACACTTAAAAAGGTATTTATACACATTCTAAAACCTTTTCGATACCCTCGACTTTTACAAGGTTTTATAAATGCTGAATTAGAGTGTTGTGGTTATTCACTGATGTTATGCATAACTCGAAATCTCGAAACCGAGCCCCTGTGTAATGACGTTGACAAACTTGGTAATTTCGTAATTAGAATGGCGCTTACAATAATTTGAGGTTATGTCGCATGTACCAGCCCAGAAATAAACATAAACAGGTTTACCAAATTTCTGCCGGAGGATGGGAATTTGTTCTTTTAGTAGGGATACTAGGGTTGATGAGTTTGCACTACCTTTACATGAGAACTGTATTGGAAGTTTGGATTACTGCCCCTGTGTACCACTGCAAGGCGCTTTCCTTCGCTGTCGGATACTAGCAGGGGGTCAAATCTGCCTCGTGAGGTGGTATTGTCAAAATGAAATGATGGAGTCCTTCATGCAAGCGACCCGTCATGATATCAAAAATGCCATAGGACATCAAGCACCGCTCGCAAAGAGTACATTTTCATCTATGGGTCCACAACAGGAATTTGTAAGGTCGACAGACATTGGATCGTTTGGTGTTTTTGACGAAGAACTCCGGGTGATCCAGGATAGAGAACGCTCATATTCAAGCCCAATTTAAATGGACAGAGCTCTGCACTATCCAGTACCCCCTCATTTGAAAGACAGGATATGGGACGTATGCTATACAGACATCAAGGAAAGGGTCCTCAAACAAAACTTCCAGTGTTTGAGGGAAAGGAGGATATAGAGATTTTTATCGTTCCCTTTAGGTTAGCAGCGCGTTATAACTGCACATACAGACAATGAGAAAGTGGACAGACTCTACGAATGTCTAAAAGGAAGGGCCATGTGGTACGTCTGCTCCTTACCAAGGGAGATGAGAAGATTATACAGGAATCTAAAGGATAGTCTGATCAAGCGGTTCGGACGAAGAGACCCACACACAACAGCGCGATCAAAATTACATGAAGTAAGGCAACGCAGCCTAAGTAATGACGAATTTGGGGAAGAGGTTTGGCGCCTAGTTACCCTTGCTTATCCTAATGTAGATCTCGACTTGCAGGATCAATGGGCTGTAGAGGCATTCCTCAAGGGGTACAAGAACCCCAAGGTATCTTATGATGTGTTGAACAAGAAACCAAGAACTATCAATGAGGCTATTGAAATGGTTACTTCACAAGAACATAACGTCAAAGCCACCATCGGTAGGGAGAAAGAGATACGAGACAAGGCTCGGCGCGTTTCATTGGCTGATGGGGCTGGTGTAAAAAAGAAGTATTGAATACACAGCGTGTTCAACTGCCAAACACTGCCTTAGAGTCGGACAGCCTCAGTAAATTAGAGGTTCGGATGAAACAGCTGGAGGATCTTGTTCGGAATAGCTCGCTAGAGTGTCGCGCAAGATTCGACCAGTTAGGGAACGAACGCCAAAGTGGGTTTAGCAAGGAAGGGAAGGAATGTTACAGATGTGGTGGTAAGGGACATTTCCAAAGAGATTGCAGCTCTAGGAGATCATTTGTGGTCAACAGCGAGACAGTACCTCTGGGTAAGGCGCAAGCAAGAAGTCCTGCTCTGCGAAAGTATCTACTAACACTTCCGCAGTTCAAATTGATACACGATGTTCTCTACTACCAGTGGAAGGAAAATTTTCAGGAGTCACTGCGACTCCTGGTTCCATTTCAGATGAGAAAAGAGATCATGGGGGCATGTCATGAAGCTGTTTACTCCGGTCATCATGGAAAGAAGAGAACTCTGGAACGGATGAAAAAGAAATTTCACTTGTACAACATGTCGATGGATGTGAGTATATTTGTTCGGAAATGTCATGTATGTGACGCTGAAAAGAAGAGTAGTAGAACTATAAGAGCACGTCTTCAGACCTACATCTGCGGAGCGCCAATAGACAGGATACAATTGGATGTCGTTTGGCCTTTTCCTATTAGTGATGCTGGGAACAAATACATACTTGTCATCATCGACCAGTTCACAAAGTGGGTCGAGGCTTACCCAATCACACAACAGGACAGCAACACGACAGCGAAAAAACTGGTCCTGGAGTTCATCTCTAGACTCGGCGTACCCCTGGAGATCCACACGGATCAAGGACGAAACTTCCAAAGCGCCCTGTTCAAAGAACAGTTAGAACAGCCCATGGAATTGGCTTCGGAGTCTTGTGACTTTTCACGTAAAAAATATAGGTTGTGAAAATTAACCCAAATATATATCGATACTATTTCCATAATTTAATCAATCAATATATTCAATTGCATCTTATAATAGTTTTACATAAAACGGTGAATATGATTGAATCATTGTGAGATTTTTTGCTTATCCGCTTGCTAGTGCGGAAGGGAATAGCTATCCGGTAGTTAGTCGGTCTTGTGGAGATATCACTACGCCTGTGTTATTGTCTCATGACACGGAACTGGCCTTGGTACATAGTGGCAATGCAGAGCAAATGTAGATATTGTGCGATAAGATGTAAGCTTAGTGAATGACAGGATCCCAACATGTTGAAATTACAATATTTTATTATTCTCATATAATTTATATTCTAGTTTTATCGACTATCATACTAATCAGAAGCTTTTACAATCAATAAGTAGTTTTTTCCCCCAAATACAATACGACTTACTGCAGACATAAACAATGAAAATCACTTTTTGACTTGCTTATTAATATGTTAAAAAGCGATTAGAACAACTATTGCTAATAGCTAACAACAGTTTGATTCGTTTGATGTATTATTACTGATGAATACCCTTTAAATATCAAAATAATGGAATTGGAATTTGAGTTGTAAAGCGGAACAAAATTTGGACGTCAAGCCTACACATTAACTGTAATCGCAATAGCTGATATTACGTCATAAAATGAGTATAGAATTTGTATCGCTGCATCAGGTAAATTGAATATTTTATTATCAGTAAATAAAATGAAAAACATATAAATGTAACCCAACTCTCTTTATTTTTTTGAAAATAACCTAGGTCCATTATAACGTTCGTTTATTGTTAAAAACGGTGATCTTGCTCTTGAGTAAAACTTAGCGGTTTCAGCCATTACGATCTAAATCACATAAAAAAGTAGAGAAACGAAGTCAATGTTCTTTCCTAGAATAAACAGTGTTATCCATTTATAGATATTTGTAGTAGGAGAGACCTCATCGACCCATAAGAAAGTCATTGGCATCACGAAGGAATGGCAATTTTCCTAGTCCATTTTTCTAAACGTTGGAAAAATTGGAATATACTTCGATATCCTAAATTGCCTCAGTATTTTCGTTAGAGCTGGAATTTCGTACAATTCTACCCCTTCTTCATAATCTTGTTCACTGATGTCCTCTTCATCTCCTCCGGCTAACCAGGCTATCATGCCCCTCTCCTTCATAGTACCTGTCAGAGAAGGAGCAATTAAAATATGAATGTGACGTCAACTATACGAAACACCAAACGTTATATATACGATGGAAGAAAAGAAACTGATAAACGGAGAAAACAGATTTTTTTTAATTATTTCTTTCTATTACAATTTTGATACATAAAAGAGACAACATTTAGAATAAAATATAACATGTTTAAGTTAAATCTTTATATATAAAGAAAATCCTCCTATCAGTAACGACAAGTTTAGTAAGGTACACAGATACTTTGGAGGAAGACAAGCATGTTTTCAGAATATCATATAATTGCTTAAAATATGTTAATGTGTAGACACAATCAAAACTCACGTTGAGCCTTTAGTATTACTTTTCAAAACAATCTGTTATTCTTTATCAATTCTCTACAATAAGGCCATTTCATTCGCGGAAACACGCATGAACGGAAGAATTGAACTTGTAGATATGTAGTTGGAATGATATACAAACCGGCCGAAATAACAGACTTTAGATCAACTGACTACTTACCTGGTACAGTGTTGTCAAGGAAGCATGCTATAACCATTCCAGCAAAGTTTGGACTTGTCATAAGTATTCGCACTGTGTTTGTTAGTTCTTGTATACCTACAAATAAAACATCCATCTAAATTTCCTGTGTTGCTTGCGCATTGAATAATGTTAGAGGGACACATTGATATGAGTATATACACACTTGATATAATCAGAAATGGTAATTCGATTGTTTATCTTCAGAAAAACCTAAGGAATGCTAGGAGATGAACGAACTTGTAACAAATTTTAACTATCCGACTATCTCATTTTACAGAGCCATAATATGAGTACACGTCATATTGTATGATTTTGTTTACTTTATGTAATCTTGATGGGTAATCTACATCACATGCATGTTTACAATATATCTTTTTTAATCAATATATTAATTATCATATTATTATTCTATGTTAAAAATCGTTTGCACAATTCAAGCTCTTTTCATTTTTCAAAATTTTTCTTTTTTAATTGAAATAAGACATAGCCCAGTGCTGTTTGTTTTACGAATTAATAAGCTTCCTTTCTGAAGCGCCATATGTTTTTATTGTTCATTCTTAAGGTTACCAAAAGATATTGCTTTAAGGAGCTGAAACGCAAAATCGATCGGAGTATCTGAGTACTGTATAGTGGTTATATTTCGTGATGTTTTTAATTTCGCTATATTTGCGCTTTGAATAATATTCGCGAACTCTAAACACCAGCAAAATTATCGAGAATGTTCTCCAACATTTTGAAAATTCTTATAACCCAACGCTGTCATACAAGCTTAAATGAACTCGAATCAGATTATCACCGGACAACAGGACAGTCCATGTGGAAACAACACTTACATATAAGAGGCCTCAACATATTTATGTGTACATAGTAGGTGATTAATTGATTTCATAAGTACATACACATTTTCTTTTCTTTCGAGTGAAGTCACTGGCGGATGACGACACTCTAGATCAATGTTTTCAAACGGTTTACCTGTATTTCGAGGTTTAGCCCTGAAATGATGACACTCAAAATACTTTGCACGATGCATGGGATTTGGTTGGACAGCGAAATTTATCCACCGCGAATATATACCGAGTACGAAACCGCGAAATATTGTTCCCCTGAATTAAAAGTGCTATACAGTACTCACAAAAAAAGAACTTGAAGGAATTAAGGAGTACAAACAGTCGGACAAGGGTGAGGATATGTGTTAACCCATAGGGAGATCCTGTAACATACCAGTATCAAATACGTGGATATTTTCCTCAGACCATATTGGAATCATCAGGCCTAGCATGATGGCAATCCCGATAATTGTCATATTTCTCGTTGACTTGATATCTACATAACAGAGGTTGGAGAAGACAAGGCCAATGAAGGCTCCGCCACCAATAATGTTCGTTGCTCCGAGAACAGCGTATGGAACTGTCACGAAAAAGGCAGTGAATTTGCCAATGATGGCGACGAAAACCATCTGAGCTCCAAACACCTGAAATACTCTTCTGCTTGCAACCTATAACATGCATTTAAACAAAGTATATTTATCACACAGTTGGACCGAGATAGACATAATTAGAATATAATTCTGGAAAGTCAGGAGTTTAAAACTTAATTGGTTGAACGAGAGACCCAGTGAATAATATAAGACGCTTGCCTTTTACCAAGGCGGCCGGGGTTCCTCGAGATCGGATGTGAAAATGTAAAGGGTCACTTGCCCGATAGACTGGCCACCAGCCCCTAAGTTTTTATGATGATTTTCTGGACTGCATTTTACTTCAGTGTACTAGCTTATCTCCCTCTAGTTTAGAACTTAGGATCAAGCATCCAAGTGATCAAAATTATAAGATTTCTTTATTTTTTTAAATTATTTAATATTCCAGAGACGGTGACCAGTCTACTTGCCCGACTACGATGGTTTTATTAGGTGCTCAGGTTTTCTCCCACATTTAGACCCCTGCGCGCTAACGTCCGGGCCAAAAAGAGTGACCAATATATGCTGAAATAACTTGTTTCATAAATGTTGTAAAATAAACAAAGTTTAAATAAAACTAAATTCTTTGTAATGTTGGATTTGACTTAATATTTTTTTTTTATATCGACAAAAGGAGTTGCTGTAAATCAGCGTATTTAACGCTACATGTAAAATTATGTTGCCGCTTTTTGCATTTCGAATATTGCGCTGAACTATAGTTAAGTTTTCGTATACTGTTTCATATTGGATGAATTGTTAGTGAGCAAATTAATCAATACGCTTATTACTGTTAATTATCTTTAATTCGCAGTGTACGTTTCAAGTGTTTGAATAAAAAAACAAATTATCATTATGATGTTCATTAATAATGAAAAAGGAGACATTTTGAAATTGACTTTAAATTTTAATTTTGGAATTTTAACTTAATTTTTGGAGCACATAGAGAAACAATTAAAAACATTCCAATATCTGATTCTAGTTTTCTCATGGCAGTATGAAACATACAATGTATAGAATTGTCAGTTAAAAAAGATTTTTCAATAATAACACAATAATGAACACTTTTGATTAATTGAACTCGACAAGCCGACGGTTTCTTGGCTCGGTCCCAACACAAGGGGGTGGGGATAAATTTGAATTTTGATTTATAACACATGCACAACTGTATTCTTATAAACAAATATCAATTATTTGCGACGCTATCCACATCGCTACATGATGAAATGTGCTAAACCTGTTTTAATGTTAAAATCTGTATCAGACAAATTTTGATTGGCTGCTTGACGCTGCTGTCAGCCAATCAAGTGTTTTCGGGGTAAGAAAGTAAGGAAAAACAACTACACCCCTAACAATAGACACACGAAACATGTGCACACGATTTTATTTTGCATACCGTGCCGGGTCTACCAAATTCCTAATGCCCTTACCTTTGTCATTCCGATAATGCCTATGTTTCCTCCATACGTGGTGGTTGCGTGCCCGGCACCAAATAACCCAGCTACGCTACTGAACAATCCTTCTAATGCTATGCCTCTATTGATTGCGTGCGCAGGAGGGGGCGGTACCTTTACGGTCCTAGCACATGCGTAGTAATCAGCAATTGAATCAATTACAGAAACTATTGTAGGTACCAGAAAAGTAATGAAAATGCCACCGCTAAATGAGCACGGTCCAAACTGTCCTATAATAACAATACACATGATGTCAGTATATTTTATTTTTTTTGCGATATTATATTATATTTGTAAATCATCGCGGCGAAAATAGATGCTGTATTTTCTTATTAACAAAGTTTTGAAACAAATGTTGTAATGTGTTATTTATATAAAATTGATATAAAGGTTTTTTTTCTTTTCCTTCTTGATTCAATGATGAAAAAATGCGTTGTATTATCTTATTTATTTTTGAACTGAAATAATCGTTGTCTAGTATTGTCTTTTTTAGAGAACTGAATAAAAAGTTTCATTTTATTTATTTGTATGCATGTAATGTCGCTTGAATATTGCATTAAATTGTCTAATTAACGTTTTGTTGAAATACAGATTGCAATTTTTGTCTTTATTTATAATATTGAAATAGCACGATGATATTTATAGTAAAATGTTATTTTTAATTCCGATTTTAATTTCAAAATCTCGCGATGAGAAAGCATTGTGACATTGTCTAAGCGGGACAAATATAAACATATTTTAGTGTTTAAAATAGAGCAATAAGTATGCATAGACTTTAAAAACGCTCAATCTGCGATTTGTTATGGCACTGTCGTAATATACCCGGATAAGGGACGTAGAACCACGGAGCTGAGGCAATGACGTGTTGACGAGTGTCCGTCCGCGAATAGAATTCCACGCTGTCCTTATCAGCACTCAGGAAATTGGTGACGGTCAGTATACCAGCGATTGACCAGCCGATGGCTATACCAATGAGGATCTAAAGCCATATTGAACAAGTACAAGGTACTTAATTGTTGTTGTTTTTGTCTTACGTGAAGCATGACCAATGTAAACCAATCATATATACATTGAACCTACTTTAATAGCCACAGTAATATTTTTAGGTAGGGGAGGGGCATGGTTCATACCATACACACGTTAGTCGTTATGCGATTTGAAATCAACTATAACTTCTCTTAATTTTTAAATTATAAAATGTATAGTTTCATGCATCCCTTCTGTTTCAACAGCAGTTACATATCAAATTTAAAACCAATTTAGATGTCCAAGGTTTTGGCCCCTACCATCACCAATGAGGCCAACAAGGACGAAACAGCTGTACATTTTGTATGATAGAGAATAATTCATCTGTACCAATTTTTTAAAGGAACAATCTCCTGTATGTGTTTGTTTCTTTCATCCATTAAATAATAGTTTTTTTAAAAAAATTAATTTGCCTCTGAGTATAAATACTTACGGACAAAACCTGATGTAAGGGATAATGTATGATTTCAAACCCTTTTCCAGGTCTCCAAACTGGTATCGGCATTTTCTTGCCATCTAAATACATGGCCAATATTATACATGGACATAATGTCCTAAAACAGAAAGAAACATGTCTTAGAAGATAATCAAAAGTTTACTGGAAACATTTCTATTCTATTGGTAGTTCTGCAGCACACATACACAAATACACGCTTACACAACACACATAGAGGCACGTCCTTAAATGACCTCAGCTGTTGATAGGACGTTAAACATTTAAAAAAACAAACCAAATATTGGTAGTTCTACTGTACTGGACGGTGTAAGATAACTGCAAAGGTACTTTGTACCTTTCCGAACATGTGTGCCAGGTTTAACCTAGCAATGTAGCAGGACCCACATGGCACATTATCGCATATGGATAAACACTATAATTATGGTATTATACATCAACGAAACTAAGTAATGTGACGATCTAAAAGAGAGGACCGGGTTAGTTACAACGCGAACAAGGCACATGTACTAAGAAAATAGAATATTTTACAACGAGACCATAATGAAGAACATTACTCCTCCATAGTCTTCGCCAACCCCTCATATATCTAATTCTTGTGTTTAAAGTGTGTCTGTCAGCATTCGACAACCATCAAGGAAACCGTGATAATCCGTGTTAAATTGAACCAACTGCAACATATTAACATCAAAGTTGGGAGAGTAGGGATGTTGCCATAAGGAAATGGAAAGTTCATGTCTATCGTACATAATAGTATTAAGCCGTTCATGATGGTCCCGTTGTAAGTGATGACCGAGCAAAGCGGCAGATGTACACGTTGAAGTCTGCGATGGCATTGATTTCAAATTCAAGAGGGTATATAGGATCGATGTGGTCGATAATTGATTTATTCTCATCATTAACTATTTGTATTTAGACTCATACATCAATCACTTGGTATGAATGACTACTTACGCGAATGATACAATCCAGGAGGACTCACAGAACTTGACTAGTACACTAGCGTATTTTATAGAAACTAGGAGGAGTGTTGGTACAACAGTTATCGGACCAACGTAACGCATCAGGTATCCCAGGACACCTGTTAATCCTATTAGCATGTGGATAAACCCAGCTAGGAGCAGGCTTCCCTGGAACTGAAGTAAATTCCATAAATCAGCTTATGATGAAATAGGAGAAATTTAAAAATTTAAAACAGGCAAACAAATCAAAATTGATTTAATAATATGATTATGATATAAGATGTTCATAATTTTATCATGAGAGTTCAACTAATGCTTCAACATTAACCTTAGTACAATGTATATATACAAAAAATGTAAATAAAAACAACAACAAAACATCCTTAACCATGACAAACATTGTTTAAATAAGCATTTAAATGAGGATACATTTATAGATTGAGAATATCTCAGATGTCATTTACAGGTATTGTATAGTTGTCTAATTTTGCGGGGCTAATATTTCGCGGTTGTCTCGGTCAGAACTAGTTCGCGGGGATTAATTTTCGCGCAACATGGCATTTTGAAAATATCTCTCTAACAAAGGTACTTCTGTATTTGGGTGTTGAGATTAAGTTTAAGAAACGTGTTGTGAAAATAAAGTAAAACGCTATATCGAATCGTTGTTTTATTTTCAATATTCGGCAGCTTACAGATTTGTTTCTTTTGTGAAAATCATAATAGGTGGTATTGATATTAGCTGTGTATTTAATGTCGCGCTATCTTTGGTGACTACGAATATAGCAAAATGAAATTTCTTGCGAATGTTAGCAACTATACAGTAACTTAAACAGTAAAGTAATTACCATAGACAAAAATATTCAAACGCATATTTACATTTGCCTTGCATCCTTAAATTGCAATGCATTGAGAAGGCAAATGTTGTTATGAGACTTTAACAACATTTGCTTTTGTGACGTCATCAATCTCTATTGTAATATCATTTTTGTCAACACTTAATATTTGCTGTTCAAATAACTTTTCGAAACAGACAAATAAAGCATAACTACTCTTTCAAAATATAAATATATAAATAATGCATATTTGAGCAAATATTGTTATGGTCCTATAACACACATTGCTATTGCTGCCAAATTTACACAAAGCCCAGCCGGGCTTTATTAAGTTTGTCATCAATAGCAATGTGTGTTATAGGACCATAACAACAAATATTTGCAAAAACATTCATTGCTTAATCACTTACTAGTCGTATTTTCGGTAATACGTGAACATCTTCATATGACGGCTGTTCAGAGTCAATAATTCCAGTTGATATATTCATCAAAGACATATTTCCAATAGTTCCATTAGCATCGTCCCCTTTCATTGAAAAACATTGCATTATGCTTTATTGATAAATATGGACACTAAGCTACTTGTATACCAATGATCGGATGTTGCGACAAATGTGAATTTCCCTGTAAAATATCTTTTGCGTTTTGCTCATTGTGACTGGGAACACCGAATGAAGAAAACTGATATTGATATATTTGTATTCATTGCCCACAACATAACACAACCTTATTCAAATAGCAATCATAGGACTATAAAGTTAATACCGTAGTGATGTGAAAACTTAATATTGCAGTACAGACTTGAATACTAAGTATTAACGACATATGTCTGTACCAGAGAAATATCTGATATATGGTAACAAATTAGAATTTTTGACAATAGACACTTCATTGATATGATAACAATAGGATTAACGATAAGAATACCGATAGAAAAAAATAATTTTTTTATTACGCCGTGAGCCATATTATTTGTCTCTAAAGAATATTTTCCCCCACTTCGGTATGTATCTATGTGACTAGCATTGTTATGCTCTTATTCATATAATAAGACAGTATAATACGGGAAGCAATTAAGATGTGTATAAAGGTGTTTTCCTTCGAAGAAAATGTCTTAAAATGATTTTATTAAATTATTAAAATGATTTTCATTTGATTAAAATAATACTCTATTATTTTCATATATTTTTCTATTTTTATGATGCATTTTCACTTATTTTGATGTATCCTCGTGTCGAGTTATCTATTTGTATCGATTCTAATTGGCTACGTTAACGTTCTGCTCATACAGTTCCGTGATGTTTTTTGGTACATCTCTGCCACCCCCTCATGGTTCGGATACTGGTTTTCAACCCATTGCTTTCCCCACATACCTTGGTAGTATGTATAAATACTAGGACACTGCCAGTCCGGAAGTGCCTTCAAGGCCATCAGTGGTAGGACATACTGTGACATCGGTCCTTGGTAGACTGGTAATCTACAATGATATGTCATACATGTAATATATTAGGATAGTCTAGTGGCGTAGTGGATAGCGTGCTCATCTTTCACCAAGACGGATGGGATTCAAATCCCGAAAAGGGCATGAAAAGGTATTGGTTCACTTGGTCGAGAACGTGGGTTTTCTCAGAGAATTCCTCCATGCGAGCTTAAATCCAAGCCAAAAAAAGTGCTATGTTTATCAAACTTATTTAATAATTGCTATAAAAAATATAAAATTGAAGTTCATAAAATAGTATGTTCATTGTATTAACACACTGAATTACGTCATTCCCAGTCAGACAAAGTAAATTTTACGTCAGTGATATAACGACGTTTTTCATTAGTTAACCATTGGTTTGGTTTGGTTTATTATTGTTTAACGTCCTATCAACAGCTATGGAAATTTAAGGACGGCCTCCCCTGTGTGCAAGATGCATGCATGTAGTGTATGCGTGATTGTTTTGGGAGGCTGCGATATATTCGTGTTTGTCTCCTTGTGATAGCGCGGAACTGATGCCGAGTTAATAGTGCTACCTCACTGAAACATACTGCCGAAGACACCCAGCAGGACAACCCACCCGGTCACATTATACTGACAACGGGCGAATCAGTCGTCCCTCTCTTAAATTGTGTTAAGCAGGAGAAAAACTACCATTTTTACAGACTCTGGTATGTCTCGGCCAGGGGACAGAACCCAAAGCCACAGGGGCGAACGCTCAACTAAAGGCCAAGACTGAGGCATTGTCAAGGAGACATTAGGAAGAAGAAAGTTGTTTAGAAAGAAGAGAAAATATAAGATCCCAAATTTAGTCGCCTCTTACGATCATGCAATGGGGACAGCAGGTACAATTCTTTCGCCCTATCTGCAGGGTTAACCATTGATTATTGGACAACAGATAACAAACGCGTACAGGAGAGTAAAGGAGGAGAAGCTTAATATTAACTCTGAAGGTTACACCGAGTTTACGACACAATTTTAATGTTGTTATTCCTACTACATTGTATATATTCCTAAAGTGTATCTTATATATTCATTGCCTGTAAACAAACTCGTCAGACAAAATTATTTTTACATAAATATCAGGACATTTTACAAAATGAGCAATGTATCAAACCCTTAATATGAACAATGTTTTCTCATATACCGATACATCGATACCAAGAGCTGAATTAAGGTGGCAGTGGCATCACCAAAAGAAAAGAAACGAAGAAAAGAAAAAAATAAGATTTAATTTTTTTTTCTTTTCTACCTGGAAGGATCTTTACATCTTGTGTAAAGTTCCCCTCTATACATAAAACCAAGGCAAGATATTTTTTTTTTCATTTTCTATATCATTGGTGATTCAGGATTTCCTGACATTGTCCGTTTGCTGGTATTAGACCTTTAGTGTTATTCGTTTATCAAGGCATCTTATACCTTTGTCATGTTATCCAAGTAAGATAAGCACCGTGTTCTACATCTTATACCTTTGTCATGTTATCAAAGTAAGATAAATACCATGTACTACATCTTATACCTTTGTCATGTTAACCAAGTAAGATAAATACCATGTAATACATCTGATACATTTGTCATGTTATCCAAGTAAGATAAATACCATGTACTACATCTTATACCTTTGTCATGTTATCAAAGTAAGATAAATGCCATGTACTACATCTTATACATTTGTTATGTTATCCAAGTAAGATAAATACCATGTTCTATTTATTATACCTTATATTAGAAGACATACCAAATGCTTTCGATAATTCAGCAGCACATATCTTGAACGACATATTAATATATGTTTTCACATTTGGGGATATCGTAGGTATGTTGTAGAATGCATAATACATGATAACATTTAAATTTAAATAATCAGATATATTCATATATATAATATATTAGCAACGATATCCGAAGTGTACATGACTTGGTATAAATTTCCCGATGACGTGAACGGAACTCTTAACGACCTTGTGTCTGTGCACATAAATCCATTTTTGTATTGCGGCATATCTTTGTAATATATTATGCTATGTTTATGCGATGCCTTGTTCCAAAACACTAGCTGTTTAAAATCGGAACAAACACCTATGGACGATGCATACACCTTTGATATTTCATGAATAAATGTAAGAAAATGCACACCAGCTTAAACTAAAAAGAAGCAGATTATGAAAAAAAGAGATGTTAAAGGTATATATGCGGTATAACAAGAACAATTTCTCTGTTATTCCTGATGATTTCATTTGAAAGACACACAAATGTATCTTACATGCAAAGTTCATTGCTATTTTTCGATTGTGAAAAAAACAATTATTGCGCATTCCTTTGTACATTGTATGACGCAATGTGTTTTGCTGTCGTTTTTGTCTGGTGTTAGCACACCTTATTTAAAAAAAGGAGCAATATTTACAACTCATATTATGTTACGGATAACTGCCTTCTGTACTGTGGTTTTTCCTATATGCAATAGCCTCTCCTGAACTTCCGTTTGGATATAACTGTAGAAAAATTGGTCCAGAACACAATCGTCGACAAGGTAACTCAATCGGTTAGAGCGATAGATAAGCAGTGTGAAGTTCATGGTTCGAACCCAGGTCCAGTTCCGCAGCGTTGTTTTCATATTCTTAACTCTTTTGTTGCTTATATATTGTTTGTATCGTTATCATTTCTCATAAAAGTCCCTCAACGATTGGTATGGTTTTCTCCTCAGAAATAATAAACCAAATGTATTGTTATGCTGGAAAAAACTTGTACAAGAAAAGCAAAAGATAAGAAAAAACAAAAAAAACGTGTTACCGTTTCCGTTAATAGCATTGGAAGTATTGATAGCAATTTTTGGTATCAATATCTGTATATGAAGGAGACAAAAGAATGTTTTTTCAATGGTAAGTTTGGATTTCAACACCAAGTATTCTACTCAATCATAAGTGAACGTTTTTTTTTTTTTTTTTTACTTCGAAATATTGAGATTTATATACCGTAGTCCATTTTTTATACTACTATAAAAACAAAGTTAGCAAAACCGAAATTGATAACAATGAATATCAATTTTGCAAAGTGATGGTATATCATGTGTATGCAATTTAGCATAACAAATTAAGATGCAAGTGATATTGTCTTCAACAGTTAGCAGTGAAATAGAAAACATTTAATATGATCTATTGTAGCCCAAATAGCATATTGTTTTTAAATACTCTTTTGTGATTCTGAAACATGAATTCGAATAGTATTTTATAATATTTGATGGGCGTCTTATACAATAGTTAGGCCTCGGTTGCTCAAAGGTTGGTACATGTAAGAGGGACCCGGTGGTTAGGGATTTTTTTAAAATATACATACAACAAAATCAAGAACATCGGATGCAATTTCATTATAATAGTGGTTTTTTTAATACAGATCAGGTTGATGCGTTTTGAGTTTATTTCTTGCTTTGAAACCCCTTTGTTTCTTATTGGCAACAATTTGAATTTTACACTTACCACTGGTCATAGTGGAAAAGCAATCTTTTAGCAACCGGGGCTAGGTTTTGATATAAATTAATTGATGAGCAAAGATTTAGAATTCTGAATGACGAAATCAGAGCAATACATGTACATGTATGTGTATGTATCATCTTTGCTTCATGCTAATTTGATTATGAAAAGAAATAACACAAATCCTTATAGATCCTCACCTTACTCCAAAGGTACACTGACAGAATGTACAGATTCCGGCTAGAAAAACTGTTGTTGAGAACATCTGTGCCTTAAAGTATTCGACATCCCTTGCACAAGTTAGTTCCGCAATAAGTGCAACTATGAAGAGACATTTTGGAATGGACACCACACTTTGCTAATAAGAATAAAAGAATCATATTAATAATGCCATATGAGAACAATGAAGGGGAGAGAAAACGTAATATCTGTATGGTACGATAACATTTTGCGCATATAATTAATAGAAAAATGCACAACCTTTTGACATCGTAAGGTGTAGATGTGGATATATGTAGTAAGAAGATATGATTCATGTGGCAACCCTGTCGTGCCGTGTGATTTAGTGGTTTAATTGAACCTGTGACGTCGTAAGGTCTAAAGCGTGCAGACAACCATTTGAGGTGATAAAACCTACGAAATGCGGTCAACATGTTTTATAAGCGTCTGTCAACTACTTGTTCAAGTAAAATATATGTAACATGTATTAACAATGCGAGGTTTTGATAAAAAGTGCAAAAATGCGTTATAGAATGCATGCCAAACATTTGACAACGTGAAGTCTGTACTATGTGATAATCACGTGATACCGTGAGGCCCAGAGCGTGGAACTACCACTTGATATCACGAGTTAATAACTGTTTGGCGACCGAATGATAATGTGACGTCAATGTGCTGATGTTAGGTCAATGGTTGTAACAACCTTGTGATGACGCGAGGTCTAGTGTGTGTAGAAACATTGTGATGATACGTGGTCTAGTATGTGTAGCAAACTTGTGATGATGTGAGGTTTAGGGTGTGTAGCAACCTTGTGATGATGTGATGTCAATGTTTGTAGCAACCTTGTGATGACGCGAGGTCTAGTGTGTGTAGCAAACTTGTGATGATACGGAGTCTAGTGTGTGAAGCAACCGTTTGATGATGTGAGGTCTAGGGTGTGTAGCAACATTTTGATGATGTGAGGTTTAGGGTGTGAAGCCACCTTGTGATGACGTGAGGTCTAGATTGTGTAGCCACTTGTGATGATGTGAGGTCTAGAGTGTGTAGCAACTTTGTAATGACCTGAGGTCTAGAGTGTGTAGCAACTTTGTGGTAATGTGAGGTCTAAATTGTAAAGCAACCTTGTGATAACGCGATGTCTATAGTGTGAAGCAACCTTGTGATGACGCGAGGTCTAGAGTGTGTAGAAACCTTGTGATGACGCGAGGTCTAGATTGTGTAGCAACTCTGTGGTAATGTGAGGTCTAGATTGTGCAGCAACCTTGTGATGACGCGAGGTCTAGAGTGTGTAGAAACCTTGTGATGACGCGAGGTCTAGATTGTGTAGCAACTTTGTGGTAATTTAAGGTCTATAGTATGCAGAAACCTAGCGATATCATTAAGAATATAATGCGTAGGTACTTTAGTGATAACTTGATACATATAGCGTGTGGTAACGAGAATGTCGAGAAGTTGAGAGTTCGATTGCGATGAAATGAGGTATTAAGACAATCTCTACCCAAATATGTCGTTTCTGTATTATTAACAAACATATGTGTATGTATGTAGATGCTACAGGTACGACAAACCTCGTAGAAGTTGATCTGTAATTATATCCTCGATGTGCTCATGTACGTGTTTTCCCCCGAGTGGTAACATAATATTTTTGACCTGGTATATGGCCCGTTATTCGTTATTATATAAGCCATAATTGTCGAGCTAGAACATTCTTGCAACATATACTGTTATCTAGGTCGTTATTTATAAAGTACCTACAACATCTATTGTAACTTGGTCAAAACGTGCCAATACATTCCTTATTTGTATATGTCTAAATAAGGAATGCATTAAACTTTTGTAACTTTTAAATCGATCATATAACAAGTTTTCGCATGTGAACTACTTTCTCGGAAAACTCTTAATGAGCAATAGTAAGATTATGAATTTGTGGACCTGTCTGAAAAAAGACAGGAAAACGTTAAGTAAGTAACATTGAGGGTGGAGGAGTGGAGCGTGGAGGCCCGGGGTGAATGCTCGATGTAATGGGTTTTATGCAAGAAAAACATTTTTAAACGTTTTCTCCCTACAGCGATAAATTGCTGATACCAAATAACGTAATTGTAGAATGCATATACATGTATTAAATTGTAAAACAAATAATGAGTGATTTAATGTCATAACGCAGAAATACTATGTGTTATAGAATGAATAAACAACATTTAGTAGCAGAACAAAACCCTAAGAAATAACTTAAAACATTCCACTTTTATGAGTATAACTACACGTCATTTCACACGAAAACATGAAATGTACTCTAAGAAGCCCAGACTATTTTCTGGGAACAAATAAATGCACAATAAGGTAATATTTAAAAACGTTATACAATCAAGTAAGTAAGTAAGTGCCATTTACCTGTAGAGCAAACAAAAAGCTTAGATGAATTGGTGGAGATTCGCTAACTCTGTAGAATAAAGTCCTTTTCTCCACTTCAATTTTCACTTGATGTTCGGCGTTGTCCTCGGTGTCACAAAGTTTGCCATTAACGTAGTTGTCCTCTTTGCCATTAACGTAGTTTTCCTCTTTGCCATTTACTTTTAGATATACTTTACCAGAATCCGGCTTCATATCGAAACCATTATCATAAATGTTCTCAGAAGGTGGAATAAAATCTTCGGTTTTCGCTTCCATATTTTCCATGTCGGATAAATAATATCCGGTTTTAAACTACAGTTAGCGAGTGTTCAGTTTACCCACGCAATCACCTCAACTGAGGGTTTGGGTTGACAAGGGTTGGTCTTATAGGAAAGGTGGCTTCTGAGATGTTTAAACGACCTTATTGATGTTCATAAATGCGCAGCATGTGGATGGACAAAAGAAGCGACACGTATGTGTATGTCCCCAATGTGTGGGAGCGTGCTTGCGTGTTATCTCCGAGTAGAGATTGTTGCAAAGGTTACTTTGGTAAATATCAAGCAAAATTATTCTTAATCATGAATTCACATACAAATTCATAAGGAGTGGTGTCCCTACTGATTAAAGTGTCTATAGAGTTTATTTAATCTAAATGTATAGCTTGTTAATTCAAAAACCTAGGTCACATGTGTAAAAAAATCAGTCTATTGTAATATTTTGAGATATAAAATATGTAATCTAATCTAAGTATTCTACGTAGCTTATTCGATGTTCAAACGACCTTATTTATTATCATAAACATGTAACATAGGTCATAATGTGGATGGACAAATGAAGCAACACGTACGTGAATGCCCCTAATGTGTGGGAGCGTGCTTGTGTGTTATCCTCGAGTGGAGATTGTTAGTAAATATAGAGCAAAAGTATTCTTAATCATGTATTCACATACAAATTCACGATGAGTTGTGTTGCCTAACTAAAATGTCTAGAGAGTTTATATAACTCGTTCATATACCCAGGTCACAGATGGAAAATAATTTCAATCAGTCTTTTTGTTAAATTTTGAAAGGGCCTGTTTCCAATAATGTTAATTCTCAATAGGAGCCTGCCCCCGTATAATTTCTTATCTAGCTCAACTACTGTTTTTTTCTTTTCCGAAGAATAATTTTACACCTTTCCGACACCCAGATTTCATAATTTCAGTGAAAATGTATTTTTATAAAGTTGTCAATTTCAGCATCAAAGACATAAGTTCGTAAATAAAAGAAGGTTATCTCGAAATTGTAATTCGCAACATAGTATAAATTTCTTTTGATAAATATTTCCAAAACATCGTGTTTATTCATAAAAAAAAAAAAAAAAAATTCTCGGATGAAAATGCACTTGCAGAGACACAATTATGAAGAAAAATGCCATAAAATTGCAATTTTCTCCCGTTATATAGTTTTGGATGCAAATTTCCATCAGAAAATCGGATAGAGCTTTACTTGTTTCATATGTGTACCAAAAATCAGCTAATTCCATGTGGTGGAACGTTCTCATATCGCCGCCTGAATGTGGTTGTAAATTGAAAGAAAAGGGGAAATGAGTAACAACCTTGTCTGAAACCCTATTATATAGCTTATTATATACAAACTTTTATATTGAATATCAGAGCGGATATTTTCATGACAGTTTTATGATGTGTAACGACTAAATAAACAGTATCGATATAAAGATTTACACTGAGGACACCCTGATACATGAATACTGTTCTATCTCAAGTTGTCCTCTTCTGAATTTTCTGATCGTGTGGCCTTGTACATTTATCCGTATCTTCTTGTCTTTGTCTATACGTTTACGGAATCATTGACTCGACGCTAGCTATTCTTGTCTCACTTTCCTTGTTTTATTGTCCCATCTCCAAAGCGTTGTGGCTCTGTCAGGGTTGGGACCCTGACTTGTCTCACTTTCTTTGTGCCTGCCGACCACGCCACATCGAATAGATAGATTATCCATATGAAATACTTTATTTTGTTCTAAGTAATCAATCAATTCTGCGCTTCTTGGAGGTATTGAATGTGATTTATTATATTGTCTTGTTATTTTGTGTAATTAGTTGTTCGTTATTTATCACACATTTTCGCATAATTGTACCAAACTACTAAGTATTAGCTGTTTACAGCAATCATCGGTGGCTTGCTATTTTGTTACTTTATCGACGCTTCATAAACCAATCGTTATTGTTTCAAGATGGAGGGTAAATGTGTTGGAGAAGGGTGTCAAGTATACTTCAAGAAACGTAGTGGCAATAAGAACAGAAGTGCACGCAATGTAAATAGTCCACAATATAAATGGCTCCTAGATACGCTGGTGCAACAAGGATTGATGTCAGCAAAGGAACAAGCACTTATTTGCCAGAAGTGCTACATGAAGTATCTTCGGAACAAAAATCAGCCTGAACCTGAACCCGAGCAGAACCAGGAAATAGAGGAAGAAGACGACTCCCCGTCCCATATCCTGCCGTTGCTGACCCTTCATGATCTTTTGAATGGATCATCTTCACACAAAAAATGCTGTCTCTGTCTTGTTACCTTTGCAAGAAATGGAACAAAATCATCAGTCTTACCAAAACGTGCAAGACATCACCTGATCTATTCACACAAACTGTGGTGTCCCACCTCATCCCGCGTCTGCTCCATTCACCTTATTGGTAACGACTTAGATCCGTCTACAGAGGTTGTCCTTGATGGTAGAGGTTCCTTGGAATCTCAGTTACCATCAAAATCGTCCGAAATCATTAATGACCTCCTAGAGGTGTCGCACGTCCTTTCACAGAACCAGTCTGCGTTTACAATAAGCTTTTCTTCTCTTGATGACTCGGCATGCATGGCCTGGACAGGTTGGTCCAAAGATCAGTTCCTCGAAATCCACTCGCACTGTTCCCCATATCTTTCATCTGGTATATATACCAAGACTACACACGATGCTCTATTACTGTTCTGGGTAAAACTGAAAACCGACATTTCCTGGAGTCAGTGTTCTTCTCTTTTTGGAATTTCCAAGTCAAGTGTGTCCAAAACTTTCCACTCCATAGTACAGGCATTAGACACATCGATAGTCCCACAATTTCTAGGTCCGGATCACTTGACAAGAGAACAGTTGCTCGGGCACAATACTGTCTTTTCAGAAGCATTTTTTGGAGATAAAGCCACTGCCATATTAGATGGCACCTATATTTATATCCAGAAAAGCTCCGACCACAAGCTCCAGAGAATGTCCTACTGTGGCCAGAAGAAGAGAAACTATCTCAAATTCATGAGCATCGCCTTACCAGATGGCTACATTCTGGACACAGTAGGACCATTCACTGGCAGCGAAAATGATGCTACAATTACAAAAAAAGTCATGGACAAGCTAGTTACTTGGCTACAACCAGACGACAACGTTGTCGTTGACCGAGGTTTTAGAGATGTCCTACCAGTTCTCGAAGCCTCTGGCCTCAATGCTAGCATGCCGTCATACCTGAAACCCGGTCAAAGTCAACATTCTGACGTCCAAGCAAATCTTGACAGAACTATCACCAAATCGAGGTGGATTGTGGAATCCTATCATGGTCGTCTGAAACACTGGACGTTCTTCCGAACGCAATTGGTGTCTAACAGCTTTATCAATGTCATCGAGGCTTTGCTTCGAACCGTCACAGCCTGTCTGAATGGTATTAGAGGACCGATCTACCAGAGATCTCCAGAGAGAGATGCCAAAGATAGGCTAATGGCTGAACGTATGAAGGACCGTTTGACAACACCGAATGGTTTAGCTCAGAGAGTCAAGACAGATCCGGATCTATCTAGACGGGCAAGGTCCGAGTTTGTCAAGATGGATGCATCTTCCGTACTGTTTCCCCGTCTCGATCTTGATTACTTGAGAACCATTACGTGTGGAACGTATCAGATATCTCTGGCTCCTGGTTACATCGCCGAACATTTAAGTGATGACGGAGACTATGAGGTGTGGCTTTACCAGCACTCCCCAGACCTTCTCCGATGTCAAATACATTCTCGACACAAAAGCCAAACGAAATATAACGTTTGGATACGGTTCACCGTTTCACCCGATGTTGAGGCCCCAATAAAGGACTACTACTGCCAGTGCCCAGTTGGAGAGAGAACGATGGGAATGTGTGCGCACATCTCCAGTATCTTGTACTACCTTGGGTATTACAGGACGCTGGAAAACCCTCGACCATTACAACCACAGGTAAAGAAATTCCGACAAAACTTGAAATAGTTTTCCATGCGGCAACGGAGTGCATATGTCGAAAGTATGTTTGGGGCTCGATATGAAAGATCCCCGTTACCATGTGACTAACCAAACTTATAAATATAGGTATTATACAATCGCCCGTAGCTATGAACACTCCCGTAAATGCGAAAACCAACCAAAATCATAAGGAACACGTTTTGTTTGTTGTTCTGTCTATTTGTCAGCCAATGTCTTCAACCACGGGGACTTGTGAAGTAGCCATCTTGGATTTTTTTTATGAAAAAGTGTTTCTCTCACTTTTTTTCATATCTGTGTACATATTCTCAACATACCGAGCAAATACTCTCGTTTTTTTGTTAATTATCTAAAGAAAGTCGAAAATCGGCAATTCAACCATAGGCTAATTCAACCCAACATTTGAAAATGTTCCACCACTTACATTTTGATGATTTTTCCTCTCATCAATAGCATATTACGTACTGTTTAATAGGATAAAAATTGGTTTGCATCCAACGCCCATAAAAGGGTGTATTCTCTAAAAAAACACAGTTTTTGTGTCTAAAATGTTATCATCGAAAATGGCATTTTTGAGATTGTTTCTTCCATAAAACAGCCAAATGGCGCGATGGAAACATGATTTTTTTGTCACAATCATGCCATGAATGTATTCTTTACGGTGACCATCATTTGATTAGATTTTCATTAATATTTTACATAACATGCACATTTTATCAACACTTAGACAGCTTCTGAAAGGTACAACTTTGAGGAGCCATAAAAAACAAACCAAGTCACCTAAATCTTTATACTTTATAGATTTGTGACCACAACGGCATGGGCAATGCACCACCAACAGGAAATTTGAAACAGAGATGGGGCCGTTTTGGAAACTGGCCCTTTGTAATCTTAATACATAAACAGAAAATGTACGACTGTTCATGCAGATTGGCCATCATAGAAAAAAATATTAATTTATAGTTATAATTAACTGTTTCAAATCACAGGAATATCAGACATTGACATAGGAATCTTTGATAACATAAAGCTTAGGTGCAAACGACCTTACATTAAAAAATTCTAAAATATTGAAAAAAGGTGATAATCTAGAGGATTTCAAATCTTTTAACTGCCACTTTTATGTTAAATTGGAGATATATCGTTTAATGTTAGATATCTACATTTGATATCAATACGAAATATCTACACTCAATTTGAATTGGAGATATCTACATTTGATCTTAATTAGATACATCTCGTTTGATGTAGAATTGAGATCTCTACATTTGAT